CGCGGGCACGGACAGGGGCACTGCCTGGCCCCTGCGACGCGGCACGGGCACGGCACGCGCGACTGGCGCGGCTGGTGACCCTAGCCGGTCCTTTGCCAAACTTCCGGCAACTTTGCCGGGGACTACTGAACCAAATCAACCTAATATGACATAAAATGCTCAAAAATGCCAAAAGTCACTGAGGGACCTCGGTTGGATTTGGTGGTGGGCTTATAGGGCCGATTAGGCACGAGGCCACCCTAGGGCACAAAAATGAACATGCTCAACATGAAAATTGACCTAGGGCCGAATGATATACATCAAAAATCATGGCTAATGAGGCTAGAACATTGGTCAATACATGCATGCACATATACTTAGGTTCGGGGGTGAAAATGGCTCGATTTCACTTAACAAATTGACCGAACAAATGAACTCAAAGCATGAAACTGTTTTAACCATGTCATACTCATGATTTTTGAGGATTTTTAAGATGCTAATCTCGGCCATATCATGCATGTACCATAACTTACGAAATTAGGGCTTAAATCTTCAAAAATCCAAATCTCCATATTCTTCTCGTGCATGGCATCATTTTTGTACATGATAAATCTTATTTTATCATGAATAAGTTAGGAAAAATGGTTGTCACGAGCTAACCTTGCTCAAAAGTCGAAATGGTGCCAAAGGACTTTGCTCGGGGATCTCGCGGCCCTAGGAACTTGGTCTCGGCTTTGGGGCTTGAATGGCTGAGGAGGATAGCTTCATGGGACTTAGAAAAATCCAAAATAATATTTGGAAGATGCTAAGACTCGAGATGAAAGGCTGGAGCACGAATTAGCCGAGCTTCCTCTTCCCCGGGGTCAATGTGCGTGCGCGGCTTGGGCTAAGGCACACTTCGTTTTTCTCTTGTTTTCCCCTCAAATATGATAAGTGATTAATGTGTCCAAGAGCTGGGGAAGTGCTGAGGACATCCCTTGTATAGAGAATATGGGCGGAGGATACAAGGTGCACAAGGCTCACAAAATTGGGACAAAATGCACTACACATGCGCATGGGACAAGGGTGATGGGGTTTGGGCTGACATGCACGAACTTGGAGGAGAATCCTGGTGCTTTGGCAGGTTTTGGTCAGCTCTGGACGTTCCCAAGGGAGTGGCACCACTAAGGGACAAGGCCAAGCATTAAACAATGCCCCCACTCAAGCCCACTACCAATAAAAAAATGCTAATAGCCATGTGATTGCCCTTAATCCTTTCTTAGGGATAATTAAGCTGAATTAATCCCTAATTAATCTCTTAATACACGCATGAGGTTGGGCCCTGGGGAAGTGGGCCGAAAAACTCCACATTGGGCTCGAGAAGTGGGCTGGTGCGCTGCCAGCGCTGGGCCTGGGCGCTGCTGGGCCCTGGGCGCGACCTGGGCGCGAGCTAGGCGCGGGCTGGGCGCGGGAACTGCTGGCCCGGGCTGTGCGCGAGAAAAACACTTGGGCCGATTATGCCACATGCTTAGGGCTGGAAAAAGAGTTCTCCCCACTTAGGAAAATTCCAAAGGTGTTTGGCCATGACTTGGGCCACCATACTTGACTCGCGCGAGGCTAGGGTGCGGGCACTAGGGCGCGACTCATGGCCCGGGCTCGGTGTACACTTAGACCGAGGCTAACCCTTGCCTATGGCTGAAAAATGGCCACACTAAGGTGCCACCAGACCTAAGAAAAATCCCCTTAATACTTGGTCGTGACTTGGTGCGGACTCGGCACGGCTTTGGCCCGAACTCGCGAACCCTAGGCGCGAGTGATCTCGGGGCCACGCACGAACTAGGTGCGGTATACTAGACCGAGAGAACAACATCCAAGGCTTGACAAACATGATCTCATACATAGAAATATTCTAAGTAAGGCTAAGAGCATGGCTAGGGCTCGAACAAGACTCGAGACTACTAGAGCTCGAGAATTTGCTAGGCGCGAACTAGGCGCGATACTCGTGACCGAACGACTCGGTTCCGGACACGGTTAGACTTGGACGATTTATCAAAACAAACTCAGTTTCGATTATTCGTCAACTGAAATAATTAATTCCGACTGAAAAAAATCCATTACTAAAATAAATGGACCGGAATTAATAACTAAGATTGAATAGCTGATAACTGGGCTCGGAACTCAAGACGAGCAGTATTAATAAAAGAAATAGTTCAACTGGGAACTAAAAACTGTAATTTTTATTAATACAGAACTGGGCTATTACACTGTGCACATTCCTCAATCGATAACGGCGTTTTTAGGACAACTACGTGAGTTTTACTGTCACTTTGCAACTTCATTGAGACGTTTCTTTGTGCATCCATCGCATTATCATAGTGAAGCATAAAATCAACCAAACTAGATGCGTATTTGTAAAATTCCTAAACCAATTGTTCTCACTCTCCGATCTAAATACAGTTCTCATTAGCCCACTCATCATGGTATCTCTAAAATATGCCGGTATCCAATACTCTCTCTTAGCAAACAAATCAATGAACCAATTATGAGTGTCCAAATTAAACTCATGCATAATTGCAGCCCACCTAGACTCAAACTCACCAGGTTCAATGTTTCGGCTCCAGACAATCTCATTAAGCCTCCGTTTGAAGTTGCCGTCATTAATTAGAGAATACCCGACTTTGTCACACAATTTATTCATGATATGCCACATGCAAAATTGGTGCTTGCTACGTGTGAATACCTTAGAGAAAGCAATTCCAATCGAGGGATCTTGGTAAGTGACTAAGTATGTTGGTTCTTGAACCATTTCATTTTTTAAGCTTTCCAACACCCATACGTAAGAATTCCCATCTTCTCTTGATATCAACGCCGATGCAAATGTTATGCACTTGTCGTGATTGTCTATGCCGGTGAATGGTTTAAACACCATATTGTACCTACATGAATAAAAACAATAGCGTGCTGTATTAATTTGGTGCCATATATTGTGCAAGAATATATACTATAAGGTGTTGTAAATCTGTCACTGTTGTGCAATACTGGAACAATAATTTTAATTGAGGTGTTTTTCCTGTTTACCTGTTTGTGCGATATGTTGCATCAAAGGATACAACGTCTCCGAAAGACCTATAGTTCCTTCTTGATACCGGATCAGCCCAGAAAATTCTATGTAGACAATCATTTTCATCAAGTTCGTAACGAAAAAAAAAATGCCGAGCTAATCTCCTGTTGCTTATAGAACTTCTCTATAACCAACTGTGCGTCAGCGCCTATAATGTATCCCATGAGATCTCGCTTGAAGCTTCTGAACTCCACACCGGTGGCGCCAATATCAGAATAGCCCCCAACAATTTCTTTATACATCTTGTATGACTTGATAGGCCCTATGTTTGCTTTTATGCAGTTTAGTACAAAGTTCTGATGTGCGGCTGTCATTGTTCGATTTACTTTTAATCGAGACTTGCATTCGTCAAGTATCATTGGATGAGTATGCCTTTCTTCGAAAAAACGAATGACGTAGCTACCAGGCCCATCAACTCGCAGCACAATCCGGGCATTACATCCCACTCGGTTAGACACCCCGCGTCTCCTTGGATGCACTGTTTGGACCGTGGTGGACTGATTTTTATAGCCTTGTCGCGAACACACCAAGTATTTCCAAACCACAGTCTTATCTTTTGCTTTCACCAATGTGCTTTGCCTAACGTCAAACCCGACTGTAGATGCATAGGCACGATAGAAAGTGACAACTTCGTTGAGCCCATAAAATTTCTGTCCTCTGTGAGCCATGATTGCATCATTGCACTGTGGTATCCAATATTTAGTGCCATCCGGAGTGACGACTAGATGGTGTTGCTGAGGCATTGATTTTTGAAGTGTAGCTGCAATAAATCGTGTAAAAACAACAGACAAAACGTAAATGAACAAATCAGCAACAAAGCATGACTATTAATTTGCATATGCACAATTACGTGAGAACGCATACACAACTGTTTGCATAAACATGCACAACACTATTTTTTTACATGCATTGTATACAATATGCACATATGCAGCAGTCTCTCAATAATGCTTAAATCACATGATATAAACACTTAAACACTAATTAAAACTAAAATATAAACAAGACAACTATAATTAATCCATATTACCTTGTGCTTCGTCAGTGTTTATGGATTCTTCCATGAGAGCAATTTTGTAAAAATCCTGAATCGAACATAGCATCAACAATCCACTCATTTATACTGTATAATCGATCGATCAAGGCAGCTATAGATATAACAGAAAGAACACGAGAAAATAAAAGAAAAAACAAAAAAAGGCGATAATTAATCTATTCAGACGCCGCTCGATTTGAGTTGCTTACGAGCTCGAACCTTGATTCCAACGCTGATTTTGCGCTGATGTTGTATTAATTCACTTCGATTCACAGGCATCCATGTATATTGTCGTCGCCTCAATCAATTGGCAGATCCAAAATGTCGATTGATCTTAAGCTTCGGGATTTTTTTTTTTTTTCATTTGTCCGAGTTTTTTGTGAATTTATGCGATAGCTGGGGGAAGGAGGTGTGTTAATTGTGTAATGTCAATTACCCAATTACCCCTTCTAGTTGTTCGCGAGTGGGCTGGTTTCTCCCGTTAGATTATTTCAATCCGGTGGTCATGATGTATTCTTATTTCTTTCGTTGAGACCCTTTCTCACCGGAGTGCGACCCTATATATATATATATATATATATATTAGCTT